GGAGGGAAGATAAAAACATGTGATCTGTCCAGATGTGCCTCTACTTCTTTCTTTTTATTTATTTATTTTTCCCCGCGTGGGTGTCTGCCTGAGCGTGGAGTAGTTGGGTGGGTGGGGGGAGGAAAGGAAAGGAAAGGAAAGAAAATGAAAGGAAAAAATAAACTTTGTTCAGTAGCAGCGGCGCAGGCACGCAAAGGGAAAAGTTTTGGTGGATTATGAATGACTCGGTGGGATAATTCCACACGCATATACATAAAGTTTCAGACAAATAACTGGAGATATGTATGTATACTTACGCGTGCGTGCGTGTAGACCCCATTGTGTGTGCCTACACGTGCATGAGAAGGGGGCGTGTAATGCACGGCGTTCACTGGCCTGTATTGTAAAGACGTATGCCCGGATGGATGTACTTTCTCTTTGTCTCTCTCTTTTTTTTTTCTTTTTTCTTTTTCCTCGCTGTTGGTGTTGCTGGCAATGTCTTTCCGCTCAAAGCCGCAGTCAAAGTGCAAACGAACATACACACACACAAACAGACAAAAGATCCAACAGGTAAACTCACAGAGGTTCACAGGCAAAAATCAAAAGAAAAAAATAAAAGTGGAAACAACACGGTGCCAACTGGGACCCTCGTAAGCATACACGCCTAGTAAACCACAGTGTTGCATTTAAATCCCATGCGAAACTCGCCTGTGGGGCAGGACGAGGGAGAGAACCTGAATACTCGGACCGTTTACGGCCTGCCGGTACCAACACGGGAACGCACCATTGATGAACATGGGTATGAGCTGACAAAGCACTCACTGCGGTTTCGAGGGAAAGACTGGGACGTTGTGCTCAACAATAAGCGTGAGAAACTCCGAACTTCGTTCGTCAGCGACGCAGCCGCCGCGACAGGGGAGCCGGAATACAACATCTTAAACGTCCGCTACCAGGTGGATGAGATTTGCCGACTCGTCGTGCGGTTCAGCGTGCGTCACAAGGCGCAAACCTCGGGCTCTGCACTGCAGGACCGCCTTGCGACATACCCATACGAGGCTGTGCGGGCGTTGTACGAACCTCGTGTGAAGAAGCCGCGGAAGTACAGAATTCACACGAACTCTTCCGTTGCAACTTCCTTTGCTCGCCAGCGGCGGCCGACAACTGGCAATCAGTTGCTACGGACACGCCGCTGCTGACGTTGGGCCCAACGGACTGGAGTTTCACGACAGGAAAGAGCAGGAGGATGTGGCCGATTGGGACCACGACAAGTAGCCTGAGCTGAAAATAACCATCATTCTCACCCAGGTAACCAGAGCTTCTCTCGCGGTGAAGCCGAGCAGCAAGCACGCGATCAAACAAGAAACGATGAGAGGCAAGTTGACACGGAAACTGACATAATGCAGAGCAAGACACTTTTTTTTTTTGTGGAATTTCTAAACGGGGGGAAGGAAGGAGGGGGGTGGGGGAGGTCGACACTTTCCTCTGCAGCCTTCGTTTTTTTCTTTCCTTGATACCGGTGATGCCCATTTTTAATTTGTAATGATGTGATATATCCCGCTACGCATTGTTGCTGTGCACCGCATTGCCGCCGAAGAATACGTGCCGGAACGTGGTGGCTTGAAGAAAAGACATAGGTGGAGAGCAACGACAGGACCTGCGACGGCGATACACGTGCGTAGTGTGTCCAGCTTATCTGTCAGGGTGCCAGACACCAAATGGAATCGAGGCGCACATGACGCGAGACAATGCAGAGGCCACACGGGGAGGGGGGAGGGGGATGGGGATGGGGGAGGGGGGTTAGCGCCGACATTGACGGCGGGTGCACTGAGTGGGCACATGCGTCTGCTGCCTGCTTCCACGTTTATGTCAGTACTTGGTGCGGGTTTTGTTCAAGGCCCCGGCTCCTCCAGGGAGGACAGATGAGCAAAGCACACAGGCACGCCTCCCCACCAACCCCCCAAAAAAAAAAAAAACAAAGCAAAAAAGAGGTCTTTTCTCTCACGTGAACTGCAACTGTATATTTGCGCGGGAGATGAAGGAATACGTGGCAAAACGAGGATGGAAGAAGTATAACACCCCTCTCACTCTGTTTGTGTACAACACACATCTATCTAGGTATGTGGGCCTCAGCGTCCACGAAAACAACGACAACAACAAAGCATCCTCTACATCTCGTATGCAACACTTCATGGCTTTCGTTGTTGATGGGGCGCTGACGTTATTATAATTATTATTTTTTCTTGTTGTTGTAATTTTTTTTTTTATTTTGACCCTTACAACCAGCCCCACGACGCCGTTCTGTACGTTTGCTCCCCGCAACAATCACCCACACACACACAACTTTTCTGGTTGCACCTTCTCTATTAATTTTTTTTTTTTCTTTGAGGCCTCACCGTTCCTGGCAGCGACACTTCACTGGAGTTATGCAAATCGTTTGGACTGCACCCTGCTCCCGCAAACAGCCTCTGCCGCGGCTGGGAAAGACTGATAGCATACAACAACAACAAACAGTT